TGCAGAAGGTGGCCAATTGATGTTCTCATCAATGTTTCTCTCTCTCTTTCTCTCTCTCTCTCTCTCTCTCTCTCCCCCCCTCCCTCTTCCTTACTCTCTAAAATCAATAAAGAAAAATTTTTTTAAAAAAATTTAAAATCAGATTTGTTCTAAAAAAAAAAATGTATATGTAAGATTTTTTTCAATGAAACTCAGAATATATTTTCCCAGAGAAATAATTTTATAGTTCATGGTTAAACTCATGGGCCAAGTCTTAGAAATATATCTAATCTATAAAGATAGCAATATATTTTAAAAAACAAATAAATGAAAGCAACACTACTGAGGTAATTAAACAAACTAAAATTAAACAAACACACAAAACATAAAGATACAGGAGCTCTTGTGCTTCCCTATTTTATGATTTGTGTGTTGAAATGATCAGAGTTCATCAACCAAACTCTCTTCCCAAGCAATGACAAAGACTCTTAATTTCACTGAACTGATGAAGGGGTTCCAAGAATTTTGCTTCCTGACAGCAAACCAGACTATGGCGGGGGCAGATTTATGTATGCAAGGCACCTGGGAACCCCATCAGAAAGAACTCTCCCAGACTGCAGCAATTAGAGAGCAATTTCAGGTAGCAAGCTCTATTTTAAGGCTGATACATACTTTGAGGGGAATCACTTCAGACAGGTCCAAAATAGATAGAGCACTTGGAAATGTACATTTTTATTGAGGCATGATAGGGGAAAGGAATTCTTAGAATAAAGGAAGTATGGGATCAGATAGGGTCACTTGGGCTAACAGCCAGCAGGGGGAGACATTAAGTGTCTGAAGAGGCACCAGACAGGAAGTGAGAGCTGGCCTAGGAGGAGGAGATAGACTGAAGGCAAGAAGACAACCTTGACTTAGGTTCTGGTAGCAGCTGTGGTGATATCAAGAATTATTTTCATGGGTCAGATGTGCTTGAATTATCCTATCAAGTCTTATTTGAAAAACTACTTTTCAGTCTGGTCTACGATTTCTATTCTCAGCTTATCCAAGCTGGCTTCCCAATATAAATTCCTTTCACTCAGTCCTTACCTGGATTTTATTTCAGGAAGGAAAAGGGGGAGGAAAAAAGTGGGCGTGATGGAGGGAAGGGAACATAATAGGAATAGGAACTCAGCTGTTTAATGATTGTTCACCTTACTAACTTTAGATAAGAGGTTTTCTTACAGACCGCGGGAATGGAGGATGTGCTGCAAGACAAATAGGGCTGTAAAGAAGATAAGATGCCTTAGAGCTCCGATGGCTCACTACTCAGAAAAGAAAATACATTTTGACAACAAACAAAGGACAGGACACACTTTGGTTTGGTTGTTTTGCCTGGACCCTGACCCCAGCTCCAGGAGTTTGCTTCAGGAATGCTGACCATTCTCTGGTCCCAGGAATGGGCAGAGCTATTTTAACATTATAGGAAATTACTACCTTGTTATTGAACTTCAAGATCCTGGAAGGAGACACTCGGAGCATGGACCCTGTAGCTTTTACTCTGCCCCTTTCTTCCCTCAAGTGCAGCCCCTTTCTTACTTGTCTCTATACAACCAGCAGACTAATAGGAAGTGTTAGAGCAGAATTTTAAAAATTATCTGCTGCTTTCCCCATACTGCTGTCATTATTGGAATAAACACTCATATAAGACTCAACCTAGTCTCTGCTCAGTTTGGTTCAAGTAGTGACAGGCAGCCTCAGACCTGTTGTGTCCAGTTTCAGGGGTATTTGTGTCACCCCTTTACTATCCCCAATTCTTCCTCATCTTGACACCTTTACTGTGAAGGTGAGTTAGTACTTACACAGTTCCCTAGTCAAAGATTTTGAGGATCATAGAACCCTTAAATGTCATGACTTTCTCTTTTTCATTCTTTCTGTGTTGATGATTAAATAAAATTAAGTTTAATATTTGTATCCCCTCGCAGGTCACAAATTCCATGAGAGTGAACACTGTGTCCCGATGGGTTTCAGAACAGGTTAACCAAAATATGACACCTTGGCATATAAAACATTTTAAAATAGGAAAATTGGAGAAATGGTAGTGCAGGAAGACCCCTGAATTCACCCTTCTTCCCTCAAACAGGTCATAAAACCCTGCAGGGAAGGAGAAAGTTTTCCTTCACCCTCATAGGGTCCCTGGCTGAGTTTGAAAATTAAACTGCCAAAACAGATTAATAGGAGAAAAGCATATAAGTTGATTTAATATACACTTTAGGTGATCCTAGATCCTCATAAGGAAATGAAGACCTGAGGAAATGGTGCAGTCAGAGCACCCTTCTGCTGGATTTGATGAAAATGGACAGTCATGAAGGAACACCATAGGTGAAGGAATATGAGGTAAATGTAGTAAATGAAAGAAAACTTAGTAAGGCCTGTTTGTTCAGAGTCTTCTTGAGGTCTCTTTGTCTTTGAAGATAAGGAGGCTCCTTTCTTATGACCTGCTTCAGGGGAGAGTGTGGGCGAAGGTCAGAGTGACCTCGCTTCTGCTGTTTATTTTTTTCTAAACTTTTTCAGCTTAATATATTCAATATGCCAAGGTGCCATATTTTGCAGCAGCTTGTCTTGAACTCCATAAACTCTCATGTGAGAACTGCTATCCCTAGACCTGAAGGAAAGGAACATCCTTATCTCTGAAGACAGGAATGCTGAGGGGAATCTGAGAAAAAGGCCTTGCTCAGTTTTCCCCACTTTACTATACTTAGCTCATACCTTTGTTTTATCACATTTTTTATGACTTGTCAGTCTTCATCAAACCTAGCATAAAAAACACTCTGATTTATCTGCTTTTGTGGGTCTTCATTTCCTTGTGAAGACTTACCACATAAAACTTTTATTAAATAAACGCATATCCTTTGTGCCTGTCTCTCTGTCCTTCCCAGTCTAATTTATAAGGCTCCAGCTGGAGAACCTAAGATGGGTAGAGAAAGAGATTTTATTTCCCCCTGTACAACTGTGTGTGTAGGTGCAGAGCCTTGTGTGGAGTGGTTGCTCAGGAAACACTTAATAAATGAATATGTGAACAAGTGAGAATGAGGATGCGATCCCTTAGTAAGACATCTGGGCACTTTCAGTGGTTTTAAAGGTTGATAGCACTGGCTGATTAGTATGTCTAATTTCACTTAAAAATGTAAGGCTTGTTATTTGCTGATAAAGGCACCAGCAGCTGTCCTCTTGTACTTCATCAGTTACCCCAGAGCTATGTTGAACTGGAAGTCGTCACAGCCACAATATATTGAAATTTCTCTATTTTCCCAGTTCTTGAATCTGGACTTGCCTTGACCAGTGAAATGTGGCAGAAGTGACGTTGAGATGGTCCTGGCAGCTTAGGCCAATGAGCCTGTAACTTCCACTTTACCTCTTGGAATGCTGTGTCCTTCATATAAGGAAGCTCAGGCTAGACAAGGGGATGATGCTTGGATGGACTTATACCCAAGAGACTAAATAAGGAAGTGAGGTAGATGGAGAAAGGACCAAGTCTAGTTCAACCATTGACACCAGAGTAAAGGCAGACTATTTTGAAACAGGTGCAAGTAATTGGTTGATGGGGTGGTGAGGTTAATGGAAGCACTATTCTAATTGCTTTTATTATTACTAATATTATTATTAAACAAGAAGTAGGAGTAGGCAGGCAAGGAGACTGTATTGGAGTTTTGAGAAGGAAGGTGAGTACAGCCATCCAAGAGAGTGGGTGAATGATTTCACCTGGGAAATATAATGCAGTTGCCCAACAGCACCGAAGGTCTCCTTGATGTTTATGATCATTAAACTGAGTAATGCTAGCATCATGCTGGGTTGTTTTACTCCAGCCACGATTACCTGCCCAAGAGTAGTCCTAGAGTAGGTGGAGTTGGAGTTTTTCCAGACAAGGAGAAAGGAGAGAAAGGGGGACAAGAAGTTGAGGGTCTATGAAAAAGAGGAGCTAAAGTGATGGAGTTGGGCCTGGCCGGCATGGCTTCAAGAGGACGCACATTCAATTCCCGGTCAGGGCACATGTTCGAGTTGTAGGCCAAAACCCCAGTGGGGGACATGCAGGAGGAGGCCAATCGATGATCTCTCTCATCAATGTGTCTATCTTTCTCTCTCTTTCCCTTCCTGTCTCTCTAAAATCAAAGAAAAATAAAATAAAGAGATGGAGTTGGAATTTATGCTGGGTAAGGAGGGAGTATGAATAAGAACAGAGGGACAGAAAAAAAGGTGAGTTCTGTTGAAGGTGAAGAATTATTGGCACCAGGAAAGGTGAGTTGGAATTACAGGATAAGGTAAAGTGGGCTGCTTGAAATTGATACTGTGAAGGATACAGTTATTAGTAATTAGTAAGGTCAAGTTTATAACCCTGGGAACAGTGGCTGAGCCTGTTGGTTTAGAAACTGAGAAGCTACATAGATAGTGCAGGAATCATCTGTGTGGATATTAAAATCATTATGAGTTATGAATTGAGCCAACTGTATTACTGGCTATTACTTCTGCTAGATGGTCGCAAGTGATCCCAACTCCCTGAACTTTTCTTTCAGAACATTCACCACGGTTTGTATTGGTCACGTGATTATTTCACAGTCATCAGTAATAACAGTCTGTTTTTGCTTACTGACATATAGTTGGCGCTCAAAAGGCAAAATGAAAAAAAGAAAAAAATAATACTTTCCAGCTATGGAACAAATGTAATAAATTAGACACCAACGCGTTTTCACAGGAATGGGAAGGAAAGGCTCCATGAGAGCGGCGGTTTTTTTTCTGTTGTACTCCCGGCTGCTTCTCTGGTGCTTAAAGCAGTGCCAGACACATCCGAGGTGTTCAGTAAACACGTGTCGAACGGCTGAACGAAAGAACCAGCGAACAGCCTTTACTACTACCACCACGCCAGCCTAGACGCGCAGGCCTCCCGCAAACCCCCGCTCTGCGCCTGCGCGGTGTTTGCCCGCCCTGCTCCCTGACAGGCTTCCGTCCCCGCTTTGCCTCAAGAGATTTGAGCCCTCATGGCCTCCGTAGCTGCTGGGCTGTTGCGCTGTCCTGGGTCCCCTCCTCGTTCCCACGACGACTGAGCTGGGCTTTTGCCTTCTACGTCAGCGGCTGGACCGTGGGGATGGCGGCTCAGAAGATAAATGAGGGGCTGGAGCACCTCGCCAAAGCTGAGAAATAGTGAGTGAGAGACTAGTTTGGGCCTCTGGAGGGGTTTGGAGGAGGGCGGAGGGAGTGAGAATGGGGGTGTTGGCGGCGGTTTGCTGCAGGTCCGGAAGCATAGCTGCTCCCCAAAACCCCACGCCGGAAGTGATTCCCGCGCCCTTTCTGGGGCTCGGCGGGGTGGAGGCTCGGTTGCTTTTGCTACAAACAGGGTTCCTGGACCTCGCACTTTGCCCTGGATGATTCCCTGTGGTGGCGGCCGCCCTGTGCTTTGGAGCGTATTTAGCCGCATCCCTGGCCTGTGCTGTCTAGACGTCAGCTGCAGGCCTCCTCCCTCCCTATTTGTGACAACTGAAACTGACCCCGGGGACGTAAAATCGCTCAAAAATACTGCCCAGTGTTGGGGAGTGGGCTACAGATGTACCCTGAAAATTCCTCGGTGCCCCCCTGTCATGTCCCATTCTACTCTTCCTGGGGCCAAGAACTGCACTTCCTTAGTCGTTTTATGTTTGGCCAGCTTCAGGTAGGTGAGTAGTACGCACCCAACAAATATTTGCAGAACTGAATTATTCTGAGCAATCCTTTTGACCCTTCCATCCTTCTCGGTTGCATTACCCAACGAATTTTTATCTGACAGGTCGAGATAATGAGAAGTCTACATTGTGCTCTGTGTTGGATGCTTCACATACCTAATCTGATGTCTCCACAACTTCCCAAATACATATTTTTATTTTACAGAACAGGAAATGAGACTTGGAGAAGCCTCGTAATAACTTACCCAAGGGTGCACGGTGGGAAGGTGGCAGGTACAGTTCTCCACCAGTAGAAAAACCCAAACTCTTTCTGTTGTGCCACATTATGTTCAGGCAGCGTGGAAGGGACTGGGGCTCTTTTGCTGCAGTGCCCACAACAGACTTCCTTTCTGTTGAGAGCAAACACATAAGTGTTAGAATAGTGTGTGCAGTAAGGATCATCCTAAAGCTGTTAACTGTGCTTTGGTAACAGAGTGAGAAGTTTATTCTGCTTGGAGAAATGTAGGGACATATTAACAGGTGATTTCTGAGCAGGGCCTGAAAAATAAGACGTTTTTAGAGGTGAGAAAATGTATGCCCAGGATGTAGTTTGAGTACAGGCCTGAACATGTGCTGGGGGAACAGTGACTGCAGAGTAGTTGCAGTGCCAGGGCATGAGCTCTAGAGTGGAGAAGAGTTGGGGCCAGAATTGAAGGGGCTGCAGCTCTGCTCTGATGGTCCTAAACCTTGAGCTTTTCTAGGGATCAAATAACCAGTGGGACCTGGTTAGTTTTGTTTTAGGCAAAAGAAATGTGGCAATGTGGAGAATGGACTGGGAGGAGAGGAAAGTGAGAACTTCGCATAATTAGTAAGCAAACATTTACAAAGTTGTCACCATGTGTCTGTACATCGACCACTGGGACTACTGAGGTAAAAAGTCGTCTTTTCCTTAAGAGCTTAGAATTCATAGGAGGGCAGACGAGTAAACAGACGAGTCAAAATAAAGTATTCAGTGCTAGAATAGAAGTATACAGTGGCTTCAGTTGAGATGCAAAGTCAAGAAAGGTTGCTATCTCCCGATTGGGAGTAATGGAAGAGAAGGACAGAGCCAGAAAGATGACTTCCCCACTGCAGGTTAATTGGCCGTCATGGTGAGGGCCCAAATTAAAGCAAATGTACAAGGGACAGGATTGGGTGACATTCTTTAGATAGAATTGAAAAGCTTTAATAATGACGGGATGTGGAGGGAAAGGCTTGACCCCTGTATTTCTAACTCAGGAGATGGAGTGGTGGAGAGATGTTCAGTCAAAGCAGGGCACTGAGAGGAATGGGGCATAAAGTGTTAGATTGAGGCTTGGATTTATGTTTGAAGGCTCAGTAGGTGGCAGAAAAAATGGGCCTGGAATTTAGGAGAGACAATTTTATATTTCTGTCTTCTAATGATAATATGGCTCAATATTGCCAAGTCGTTTTGTAATTATAATTAATCACCTCAAACAGGTGGTGGTTCTGTGGGGTTTGGTCCTATGGAAATTCATTAAATTGTTGGCCTCTACAGAATTTCTTTATTGAGTCTTGACAAAAATAGTTAAAACAGATTATGGCTATTAAGCTAAATTTACCAGAGTGCCTTCTCATTTTCGAATTAGAGATGCTTACTTGACTGGGGATGACTTGCTATATTTTTAAATCTCTAGCTCATCCTGTGTAGCCCATTAGACAATTGAATGATTTTACCTTGTTTTTGATGGAATTTTAAAAATTCTGGTAATATACAGAATATAATGAGTGCTTTGGAGTGGGGTGGAGGATTAAATTTTTATTTTATTGCATACTTCCTTTTTGGGGATTAGAGTGGACAGGCTACAAAGTAAGTATTTTTCTGAGCAAAATTATTCTTGGTAAGCTTTAAAAATTGCATTACAAATTTATATCTCATATCAGTATATATGAAAATACAAATATTAAATAAATTTAAGTGGCAGAAAAGTGTTCTTTTAAAGTCAGGCTTGTGGGCAGTTCACATAGCTGTCACCAAATGAAGGTGTACTTCTGAGGGCCCTAGGGGATTCCCCATCTCTCAGGTAAGTTTCGAAGCTAGCAGTTTTATATATAAGCTAATTGGATTGAAATCTAGAATCTAAGATCATTTATTTAGCAATTCGTATGTATACCCAAACTTGATAGTCACTAAGTTAATTTAAAATGGAAATATGAATTATTTTGAATTAAAGCAAAAAAATAAAATATTGCAGAAAGGGCAAGTAAGATAAGGACTCAAAATTGATTGTCTTTTGGCTTGGCATGTGAGAATCCAATAGTGATCCTTGAAAGTAGCTTCTCTTGTTTTCATAACATCCTTGTATTTCTAGTTGTTCTTCCTGTTCACTGGTAGCTAATTTGCAGCCTTTTATTGATGACTCCCTCTGTTCTTCCTCTGAATGTTTGTATTCTGCCCTAAGGTCTGCCTTCTCTCTAAAGTCACCCTATGGGATCTGAAACCAGACAACAAAGGGGTTTGGGCCACCTGTCATTACTTGAGCCAAGTAAGCAGAGACAAGAAAGCAGAGACAAGACTGAATTGTATATAAACATTTATTCCAATAATGCCGGCAGTATGGGAGAGCAGCAGGTCATCCCATAAAAATATGCTCTACCCCCCATCCCCATAAACCAACTGCTCATATTGGGTAGAAGGACAAAGATTAGTTGGGGAGTAGGCAAAAAGAATAACAATGGGTAAGAAACTACCATCTGTGGGATCATGACTGAATGCCTCTAAGTCAGAATTCCGCCCAGGCAGAATGATAGGGGAATGTGAGCTGGGGCCTACAAAGGGTTGTCTCCAGTGTACTACCTCCAGGACTCCAAGGTTGTTAGTCTTTCCATGATGAGGGGTCAGTTCTTGGATAAGGAGAATGGGCTGCATTTCGAGGTTACCTCCCAGGTCCCAGGGCACACAATTCCCAGCCAGGTCAGAATGTGCTTTCTTTAATCAGAACAAAGCAATCATGGTTAACAGAGCATGATTAACATTTCTTATAACTCTGGCTACCACCTCACTGTGATTAGTACTCAATTCTATTATCCTCTCCCGCCGCTTTCAGACCTTAACTGGGCACTTGGTGTGGCTCAGACTCCTCTTTTATCTCTCCATCTTCTCTTGAGCTGTGGTCTCAAATCCAAATGCTTACTTGATGCTGTGCTTCAGAGGGCTTCAAGTTTTAATGTGCCTCAGAGCTGGTCACACCTGGGTTTTTGTTGCCCTTCCAGAGTTTCTCCTGCAGTGGGTCTGAGATGGGGCTCAACAATGTACTTTTCCAGCACATTTCCAGGTAATGCTGGTCTAGGGATCATGCACTGAGAGTCTCTGCTATAGTTGGAATTATACAGGCAGTTCAAAAGGAGGAAAACTATGTCTATGGCAGTGAGAGGGAAAATGGTAAGGTTGTATTAAATTGTAAATAAGGTTGGATGGAGGTTGTCAAGATGGGAACTTGCTACCTGATGGCCCCTCTCCCTATTTTTTAATGACCCATGAAATCATTACAAGCAGAGTTCTGACTTATAATGTGTTTGAAGTATGTAAGAAGTATGTCTTTCTTTCATTTTAGCCTGAAAACTGGTTTTTTAAAGTGGAAGCCAGATTATGACAGTGCAGCTTCTGAATATGGAAAAGCAGGTATGTGTGATCTGTAGCCCAATAACTCCAATGTGTACTGTCATCCCTTGCCACATTGCGCTTGGACTCTCGTGGCTTCACTCTATCGCGGTTCGAATGAAGCCACGAAAGTCCAAGCGTGAAGTGGGGAGGGACGACTATATATAGATAAGGAATTCTACTTCTTGGAAAATTCATTTATCATGGTAGAATCTGGAGCGGATTAACCACAATAAAGATTTACTGCGATAAACGAGGGCCGACTGTAATCTTAAAATAGGCTGATAACTTCCCCTCAGCAATACTTACTCTTAATGCTTCCTATAAGATTCTAATAAACAACAATAACCTGCCCAAGCCCTTGCATTTCTTATACTTGCTATTTTCAAATGTGTTGAGGGCTGAGTCAGAAATCCCATACTCCTGCCTCTTATAACAGCAGAGATGAATAGGATTGGCTGAATTTAGCTGCACATTTTTAGCATCATGTGTATATTCTTAAACTTTAGTAGTTGCATAGTATTTTTACGAGTTTTGCCATATCCCTTTATTACATTCCCTGTTATTGAATAAAGATTTGTATTTATTAAATTTTACTTATTTATTTATTTAAAAAAATTTTTTTTAATTGATTTCAGAGAGAGAGGAAGGGAGAGGGGGAGAGAGAGAGAAACACTGATCAGAGAGAATATCCATCATCCTCCTGCATGCCCCCCACTGGGGATTTAGCCCACAACCTAGGCATGTGCCCTGACCGGGAATTGAACCGCCAACCTCTTGGTGCATAGGTTGGTGCTCAACCGCTGAGCCACACAGGCTGGGCTATTTTATTTTTTAAAGTAGCCTTATTGTAAGCAGATCTAAATTCATGTGTTTGGCACATATCTTTTTTTTTTTCATGAGCTTCATTTTGAGATACAATGATAAACATTCATGTGTGTTAGGCTACATAGATATTAAAATATATTCATTTATATGTATGATAAAAATGGTCTGAAATGTGCAACAGGGGTTTTACTAAAAATTAGCATTTTAAATTATGGAATGATATCTTTCAACATATTCATGATTATTTTAGATATAAAGCATAGTACAATTTGAAGTACCCTGAATACATTTTACATTGTGTTTCAGCGATAGCCCTTTTTTTTGTTATCCTAGCACAGAGATCATCTAGGTACTATGCATTTGGCAAACTTAAGTTTTAGTATATCACCAAAGAAAAAAGAAATCGAATAAATAGAAACTAATCAGTACAGTAAGTGTTAATTTCTTAGGTATAAAAGAAATGACAGCAATGAGTCTTTAGCACTTTTATTTAAACCTTGAATAAATTCTCTCTTATATTTATATATCATATTTAAAGGGAAAATGATTAAAAGTTCAAACTTGATATAGATTTTATGAACACCTTGTATAAGAAGCTTTTGTAACTGGAGTACACAACATTTTCCAAATTTCCGTGAGGGAAATTTGACACAGATTTGGTTTATAAACATCTTCGACCAGGAGCTGCATTCAAAAATCAATATTTTAGGTCAGATTTTCCCATTAAAGCAGTCTTTGTTTGCCCAGGCCCATTTAGCTCAGCAGATAGAGTGTTGTATGTCTGTTTTCTTCACCAAGTTAAGGAAGTTTTCTGTCATTGTTTCAAATAGGTTTTCAATTTCTTGTTCTCTCTTCTCCTCTGGCACCCCTGTGATGCGAATGTTGGCATGCTTGAAGTTGTCTCAGAGGCTCCTTACACTATCGTCATTTTTTTTTCTTTTTGCTGTTCTTTTTTTTTTTGGTACATGCCCCTAGCTGGAACCGAACCCAGGACTCTCTGCTCCACAGGCCAGTGCTGCAACCGCTGAGCCAAACCAGCCAGGGCACTTTTTGCTGTTCTAATTGGGTGTTTTTTGTTTCCTTATATTCCAAATCAATGGTTTGCTTCTTGGCTTGACCTACTCTACTTTTGATTGCCTGTAAATTATTCTTTATTTCCTTTACTGCATTCCTCATTTCTGACTGGTCATTTTTTTATGTTGTTGATGTTCTCACTAAGTTCCTCAGAGGTCTCCTTAAGTTCCTTCAAGGTCTCAGGTCCTTAAATGTCTCACCAAGTTCCTTGAGCAACCTTATAACCAGTGTTTTGAACTCTGCATCTGATTGATTGCTTATCTCCATTTTGTTCTTTTCCTGGAGTTTTGTTCTTTTCTTTCATTTGGGACATGTTTCTTGGTCTCCTCATTTTGGCAGCTTCCCTGTGATTGTTTCTATGTATTAGGTAGACTTGCTATGTCTCTAGGCTTCATAGGGTGGCCTTTTGTTGTACGTGTCCTGTAGGATCCAGTGGCCCTGCCCTCATCATCTCAGCTGGGCCCTTGAGGTGCACCCCTAGTGTGGACTATACACCCTTTTGTTGTAATTGAGTCTTTTTTTTTAACTTATCTTTATTGTTGAATGTATTACAGATGTTCCTCATTTTTCCCCCATTGACCCTCTCCTCCCCACTTCCGCCCCTCTTCTGCCTTTCCCAACACTGTTGTCTGTGTCCATTGGTTATGCATATGTACATATAAGTTCTTTGGTTTATTTTTTCTCACCCTCCAACCCCTCTTCGCTTTGATGTTTGTTAGTCTAGCAACCAATTTGTACTTCTTAATCCCTTCACCTTTTTCACCCATTCCCCCAACTTCCCTTCCATCTGGCAACCAACAAAATGTTCTCTGTGTCTATGACAATGTTTCTGTTCTGCTTGTTCATTTTGCTTGTAGATTCCATTGTCGATAGATATGTATTCATTGCCATTTTGTTCGTTCGTATTTTTTTATCTTTTTCTTCAAGAAGACCCTTCAACATTTCATATAATAATGGTTTGGTGGTGATGAACTCCTTTAGCTTTTCCTTGTCTGGGAAACTCTTTATATGGACGTAGATTCTAAATGACAGCTTTGCAGGATAGAGTCATCTTGGTTGTAGGTTCTTGCTTTTCATCACTCTGAATATTTCTTGCCACTCCCTTCTGGCCTGCAAAGCTTCTTTGGAGAAATCAGCTGACAATCTTATGGGGGCTCCATTGTAGGTAACTAACTACTTTTCTCTTCCTGCTTTTAAGATTCTCTCTTTGGCCCTGGTTGGTTTCGCTCAGCAGATGGAGTGTCGGCCTGTGGTCCAGAGAGACCCGGGTTCGGTTCCCACTAAGGGCATGTACCTTGGTTGCAGTGTGTCCCTGGCTCTAGTCGGGTCATGTGGGTGGCAACCACTCGACGTGTCCCTTTTACGTCGATGTTTTTTCCTCTGTCCCTCCCACTCTATCTGAAGAAAATATCGAAAAATGTCCTCGGGTGAGGATTAAAGAAAAAAAAAAGATTCTTTGTCTTGAACCTTTTGCATTTTGAAGATGATTTGTCTTGGTGTGGGCCTCTTGGGGTTCATCTTGTTTGGGACTCTTTGTGCTTCCTGGACTTGTATGTCTGTTTTCTTCACCAAGTTAGGGACGTTTTCTGCCATTATTGTTTTAAATAGATTTTCGATTTCTTGTTCTCTCTTTTCTCCTTCTAGCATCCCCAAGATGTGAATGTTGGCACGCTTGAAGTTGTCCCAGAGGCTCCTTACACTATCCTCATTTTTTTGGATTCTTTTTTCATTTTGCTGTTCTGATTGGATGTTTTTTGCTTCCTTATATTCCAAATTGATGGTTTGCTTCTTTACTTTACCCACTCTACTATTGAATCTGTGTAAATTATTCTTTATTTCAGTTAGTGCCTCCTTCATTTCTGACGGTGCATCCTTCATTTCTGACTGGTCCTTTTTTTTATGCTCTTGAGGCCCTCACCAAGTTCGCTGAGGCCCTCACCAAGTTCATTGAGCATCCTTATAACCAGTGTTTTGAACTCAGCATCTGTTAGGTTGCTTATGTCCATTTCACTTAGTTCTTTTTCTGGAGTTTTATTCTGTTCTTTCATTTGGAACCTGTTTCTTTGTCTCCTCATTTTGGCCGCCTCCCTGTGTTTGTTTCTACGTATTACTTAATGAGAGGTATGGGGCTAGCTGAGACCAGATGCCACTTGTTTGAAAGAATTTAGGAAAACCTGAAGCAGGATCCAAGACAGGCCAATCCTATGGAAAAGAAACTGGCAACAGCTTGGGTGGGCCTGAAAGTTGGATGGGGTGGGGCCTCAGGGAATCACCAGGGCGGGGCTACCAGTGTGAGCCAGGTTGCTGGAGTCCCAGATATGGAGGCTGTCTGATGCCCCAGGGCAGGGCTCACCAAAGGAACAAAGGCCTCTGACAGCACGTTTGTCCCGGAGAAAGCCCCCTCTCCAGCCCTCGCTCCAATGCCAAACAGCTCAGTTCTTCCCTGTTGTCGCTGGCGCCCCTCAAGCTGCTTCCCCTCTGAGCTTAGAGGGAGCAAGTCTGAGTAAGTCTGTGCGCCGGCCCTTTAAGAGGAGCTGCCTGGGGCTCCAGTTACCTCAACCTCCCTGAGCCTCAGTTCCTGCTGGTTTTTCCAGCCAGAAGTTATGGGGACTTCTCTTCCTGGCACTGGAACCCTGATCGAGGTGCCTGGCATGGGACGGGGACCCCTCAGGGAGGACCTTCCCAGCCGAGGTATCCTCCTAATTTTTATCTGCCACACCTAGGTATGGGACCAGCCCATCGCATCTCTGCCCCTTCGACCAGTCTTGATGTGGCTGCTTCTTTAATTCCGTAGTTTTAGGACTTTCATTCAGCTTGATTTCAGGTGGTTTTGAATGATGGTTGTTCTATAGTTTAGTTGTAACTTTGATGTGGTTGTGGAAGGACGTGATGCTGCGTTTACCGACGCCGCCATCTTGACCGGAAGTCTGTAATTGAGTCTTGATTGCTGTTGGCACGTCAATGGGAGGGATTTACTCAGATTGATCAGCTGCAAGGACTGGCTGTGCCCACTGACCACTGGTCTCTGACTACCTTGGAGGATCAGCTGTGTAGGGACCCACCACACAGAGCAAGACTTACTTCATCAGGGCCTTGGTACCCACTGAGTCCGCTCATTGAGTATGTCACTTGTGGAGGTGGTTGGGTGGTGGTGTTTTGATGTGGTCTGAAGCTGTCCACTGGGTATGCTGGCTCTGGGGCAATATCAGCCACTACCTGTGTTCTACCCGGGGCCACCCGGCATAAGCTACCAAGTGATCTGCAGATGGCTGCTTTTTGTGCTGGGCTTGGAGGTGTCCAGAAAAAACCAAGTTGTGAACCAAGGCTGGCTGCTTCTAGTGCCAGGCCTGGGACCACTTAAGGAGAGGTATGGTGCTTGCTGAGACTACATGCTGCTTGTTTGAGAGATTTTAGGAAACTGAAGCAGAATCCAAGACAGGCCAATCCTATGGTAAACCCTTTGGAAACAGCTTGGGTGAGCCCAAAAGTTGGGTGGGGTGGGGCCTCAGGGAATTACCAGGGTGGGGCAAACAGTGTGAGCCAGGTTGCTGGAGTCCCAGATAGGGATGCAGTCTGCCACCCAGGGAAGGGCTCAACAAAGGAACAAAGACCTCTGACAGCTCATCTGTCCAGTAGAAAGCCGCCTCTCCAGCCCTCGACCCGAGGCCAAACAGCTCAATTCTTCCCTGTATGTCTCTGGTGCCCCTCAAGCTGCTTCATCTCCGCCTCCCTCAGCCTCAGTTCCCTCTGGTGTTTACAGCCAGAAGTTATGGGGACTTCTCTTTTTGGCATTGGAACCCTGAGCTGGGTGCCTAGTGTGGGATGGGGACCCTTCATTCCTCAGGGAGGACCTTCCCAGCCGAGGTGTCCTTCTGATTTTATCTGCCCCATGTGGGTGTGGGACCAGCTTGTCCGCCCTCTGCCCTTCCTACCAGTCTTGATGTGGCTGCTGCTTTAATTTCGTAGTTGTATGACTTCCATTCAGCTCAATTTCAGGCGGTTCTCAATGATGGTTGTGTTGTAGTTTAGTTGTAATTGTGATGTAGTTATGGGAGGAGGCCATACCACATTTACCTACGCTGCCATCTTGACCGGAAGTCCATAAGAGTGTATTTATAACAAATAACTTTTTTTCTTAAAGTTGTATCCTTTTTATGTTAAGCAACCTTTGATAAGTTTGCCAAATCTGTAGTACCATATTTTAGGGCCAGTCCTCATTGTTTTGCTCTGATGATTATATTTTACATCAGTGAGCAGTGTGTTTTAATGTTTTGGATACTGAGATTTTTTTTTTCACAGAAACTTAAACAATGCAAAAACTTTATCTTTTTAAATGCAGTTTTTATTTTTTAGAAATTTATTTAAAGATTGTGCCAAAAAGGAGGACTTATTATAAAAATATTTTATGTGTTGCCCAGCCAGTGTGGCTTAATGGTTGAGCATTGACCCATGCAACAAGAGGTCACCAGTTCGATTCCTGGTCAGAGCACATGCCCAGGTTGTGGGCCATATCCCCTGTGGAGGGCATGTAGGAGGCAGCCAATCGATGTTCGCTCTCATCGATGTTTTTCTCCCTCTCCCTTCCTCTCTCTCTAATCAATAAAGAAAAAAAATTCAAAAAATACATTTTATGTGTTTATTGTTCTTTATTTCTAAATAATTAAAAGATGGAATAAGCTATAACTAAAGCACTGGTTTGTTTCTGATGATGATGATGATGAAATGTAAGATGGGTGAAGTAAGGTACTGTTTTTTGTGAAAGTACCTGTTAATTCGGAGCATTGGTTTGACTGATGTGATTTTAGGTTCTCAAAGCTTAGATATTGGTGTTCTTAGTTTTGAGTGGAAGTAGCAATGATTTGTAGCAAGTGGTCTACAATTAAAAAAACAACCAAACTTTTGAAAACACCTCTAAGTTATTGATCACAAAAAAAAGTGGTAAGAAAATTGCTTTAGAAAAAGTAATACTTTATAGTTTTATAAAACTTCCTAAGTGCTTGATTAAAAGAAGTATACATATTTTCTAATACTTTACACATAGTAATGACTCATTTGAAATATTTTAATTGATGGAAATAGAAAGTCTTTCTGTTGTTGTTTTATTTCAGCTCTTGCTTTTAAAAATGCCAAACAGTTTGAGCAAGCAAAAGATGCCTGCCTGAGAGAAGCTGTTGCCCATGAGAATAACAGAGCGTATCTTTTTCAGCCTTTAAAAAAGACTTGACAATTCAGTGATTTGGACAAATACGTATTTTATGTGATTATAAATTTGCTGCATGTGGAGTACAGTACTATTAAATTAGATGATTAGAAAAATTCTGAGTATTTAAACTCTGAAGAAACATTATTATAGAGACTTCTGATCCATACTACTTTGCAGAGCTACATTTGAGAGTTTATTTTTGTTTTTTTCTGGATTTACTTGATGATGGTTTTACTTGGGATAAAGTGAGGAATATCTTTAGAAGGGCATTGAAGAATGAAGAGGTAGCACAGGCATTGGAGATGCATAAATTGCTATATAAATATTTTAAAAATATAATCTTTCTCGGGTATTTGAAATAAGATTTATAAGTAGTTTAAAATAATAAAATTTCCTGAAGTTTTTAAAAACTTACACTGGAAACTGTTTATTTTGTCTCATCTGCTAATATTATGGGTATAATACCCTTGCATTTTAGTAAAACTCGTCAGATCAATGCATAATGGAACTAACTAGTTTAAAATCTACGTGGTGTTCTTATGAATTATGTGGTTTTAAGAGACATCGGCAAGCATTAAATTATTTCTCTTTACCTGTTTGTAGGATTAGCCTTTTGGATCACAGCTAAGGCAGTGATTTAGTTACCTTTGTCTTTTAAATAGTAAATACTTAGAAATGGATAATTTGCCTTTTTTTTCCTTAATTTTGACTTTGTTACATCCATTCAGTCTTTTTCATGCTGCCAAGTAAGTAAATATTCTTCCATGTTTTCATGTGTTTGCAGATTATTATGTTTTAAATATTGCTGTTTTTCCGTAGGTCAGTAAATTTTTCCTAAATTATAAATTTATAAATAGTGAATTCTTTTGTATTGATTTAAATAAAAATAATTTTCATTTGTTTCAATCTTCACCTAAACCTTAAAAACTAAGCTCTCCTAAGATATACAGTGTTTCCATTAAATTCACTTTGATATTTTTAGGACCATTTTGTTCAGTATCCTATGAAAAACCAAGTAAGTTAGAATCTCTTTTTTCCCCCTATCTTGATAGGTAATAGTGCCTATGGAGAAAAGTAGGAGGCTTTCTCCTGTTTTTGTGGAGAGTACTTATTTGTTTCCAATCTTGGATTTAGGCTTGTCAAATAGAAGTTCATATAACTTTTCTGAATCATACTTAATTTTGCATCCACAACATAAAATCACTTCAATTTAGATGCCTGATATTTTCCTTTTTTTTTTTAATCCTCACCCAAGGACATATTTGCATTTATCTTTAGATAGAGCAGGAGGGAGAAAAGGAGGAAAAGAGAGAGAGAAACATTGTCGTGAGAGAGACACATTGACTGGCTGCCACCACACAACTCCAACTGGGGCGGGGGACAAACTGCAACCAAGGTATGTGCCCTTAGTGGGAACCGAAACCAGGACTCTCCGGTCCATGGGCCGACAACGCTCAAACTGGCCAGGGCCAGATGCCTGATATTTCTAAGGCACAAAAAGAGAAAGAAAAAAAAATACGTTGTGTGCTAATACAAGCCTAAAGTAATAATGTAACGTTGGAGCCAGTTAAAAGTGAAATATCTTCCCTTATCTATAGTAGAAAGTTTCTCCTCTTCCTTATTTCTTTAAGATCTCATCCAGGAAATTTATTCCCTTTGCAGAGCATATGAGCAAGCTGGCATGATGTTGAAGGTCAGTAATGTTCTGTCACAACTGTTATATAAACAAAATTAAATAACTACATGGTGTTGAAGTAAATTTATGTTGACTTTGAAAAATCTCCTTGCTGTGAGGCAATATATATTGTCCAAAGCAATGCTAATTGGACCTATAGGGTACATTGTGTGTGTCATAAAATAGGAAGTTTTAAAAGTGAAATTTAAGAGAACGTGTTGGAGAGAACTGGGAACCCCAAGGTTCTAAACTTTATAACCAAGAGGGAGTGTATTGCTAAATAAAGAGCTGTGTGGGAGGTTTTCCTACTTTTGAGACATTGGGAACATCTTGTTGTTGTTTTTTTTATCCTCACCCGAGGACATTTTTCCATATTTTGTTCAGGTAGTGTGGGAGGGAGGCAGGGAGGGAGGGAGAGAGAGAGAGAGAGAGAGAGAGAGAAACATTGATGCGAAAGGGACACATCGAGTGGTTGCCACCCACACGACCCATCCAGGGCCGGGGACAAACTGCAACCGAGGTATGTGCCCTTAGCGGGAACTGAACCTGGGTCTCTCTGGACTGCAGGTCGACGCTCTAACTGCTGAGCCAAACCGGCCAGGGTGGGAACATCTTAATGTAAAAATTTACAAAGTATATATATTTTTTACTTCCCATGGGTTATAGAAATGAGAGATTTTTGCCTGTTTTATAAATATCAGTTGGCATTGAAGAGAACCAAAGACTTAAACTGTTGCTATTTAACTCTGATTATTCTTGAATGGAATATTTTGGCTAGTGTGGCTATGCCACTTTTTATATTTCGGCTTCTTAAAAACAGGTTGGGAATTGACATTCTGTTGTGAGACAAAACATTATAACACTGACTCTCAAAGTATGCCAATGGCAATTGAAATAGAACATTTTTCTTTTCATTTTAATGTACTCTAATATGGTAAACAATTGTTTTGAATTATTTATTATAAAGCTTTACTTTAAGAACTTACTCTTTTTTTTTGACTGGGACTCAAACCTGCAACCCTTTGGCCTGTGGGCCGACACTCTAACTGCTGAGCCAAACCGGCCAGGGCTTTTCTAGTGTTTTTCACATATACACTTGCATATGCGTAGAAAACAGATAATGTTCTACACACAGTTTTGTATCTTACTGTTTATATTTAATGTTTCAGGAAGATTTTGTAATGTCATTTAAAAGTACTTTGATAATACATGTCAAGGGTTTTAAGGGTTTTCATAGCTTTTGACTCAGGACTCTTTGATTCTGTCATAAAGAAATAGAGAGATAGCTTCCCTTGAGACTAGGAAATGCCAAGGCAGCTCATGTCATCGAAGTGTACTATGTCTATTAATAGGATGCACTGTCTTAGTACAGAAATGCCAGAACACTAATATACAATCTTCACAGCCTCAGCTGTGCTAAGGCTTTAGTTTTCATCAAAGATTATTATGCAGAAATCATTTTCTTTTCTCCAGTATCTGTTCAATTTGAGGATTTGAAAGGCATGGCTTTGAATGAAGGAAAAATAAACCTATGGATAGGGGAAAAGACAAAAGAAAACACTTTCTGGCATTCTCTTGTGTTTACATTAAATAAATGCCTTTGAACAGTCTTGGCACCATTAGGAGTCCTGAGCTACCTGGTACACAGTTTGTTCTGAGGGATAAAATTACCACCATTTGTCATACAAACTTTCCCATTCATCCCCCAACAAGGCTTAGGAAGGGACAGTTTTCACAGGGGAAGACATGGATTTGTTGGATTAGCCTCTGTCATTTTATAATTGTTGTGATTTTATATCCTCTTTGCTCCAAAGAAGTGATAAGTTGACTAAGGCACATAAGCCACTGAAAATAAGCATATTTTAATTTTGTTCTTTGTGATTTTTGCCATACTAGAAGAACATGGTAAAGAGCATAAAACAGTATAATTTTTAATTAGGCCATCCTTTGTTTATGGAGAAGTGTCAGTGTTGTGACTTGGCCTCTGCTACTCATAGGCATGCTTGATTTGATGCAAAAGCAGGAAGAGGTACTTAATTCTTACACACATAACTTAAATGGTACTTATTTCATATTGCCCTTTCATGTAGCTACTGCTCTTTATATCTTATCTATGAGGATAACACTCATGAACGATAGTACCCTGTGACATATTTAATGCCCCTAACGTTTTGTATATTGTAGGTTCTCAGTATAGATTTATTTAATTAATGAATAAATGAATTGGGGGAAGAAATGATCTGTAAAAACCAAAGTAACCCTCAGGACTAAAGTGAGTGAAATAGATTTTGTTAGACTTCCCTTCCCACCAAATATCCTTCATCATATACCATAGACACTTTATTCATTCCTTGTTCTTTAGTTTCTATAACAAAAAAAAAAAAAAGATTTTTTTTTCACTGAGGGTTGAGGTCATATTAACTGGTATCATTTCACTTGCATTCGATAGCAGCTTATTTTGTGCAGTATCTTTCAGTCTGTTTTATTGTTATTTATCTCCATAGCTAAATAATAAAAAAGTTATATTGTAAAGTCTAAGAATGAGACCAGCAAGTTTTGCATTCTAAGAAAATTTGTCAACTTAGTAAGGGATTGAATAGGCAGATTTGAAAATAGCCCATGAGGTGTCTGTCAGCAAGGAGCCTACTTTAAGGTACAGTGTGTCAACCCTAAGTAAATAATGCCAGTATACTTTATATCGAGCTTTTAGTTTTTTAAAAAGTTTTGATGTGGGGATATTATATATAATATCCACAGGATATTGAGACTTACGGTTTAATGGTAAGATACGGAGTTACCCTGTTGATGACATTCACCATGGAAGATGATTGCAAACTCAGAAGAACTCGGGCATAGGGGAGTGACTGAAATGAAGGAGGTGGGCATGGGTGTGTAGGGCCGTAGGAAATAGGGAGAATTGAGGCTTTAGAAGGTGGTATACCTCCACCAGGCAGCTGCTCATTAGCCCCAGTGTATTATTGCCGTGCGGGAATGCAAGCCTACTGATGCCATAGCTTTTGATATACTTTTTAAAATAGGATCTCATAAAACAGCTTTTGTGAAAGTATCTGATTAAAAAATACTGAGTAGTTCAAACAAGATGCACTTGGAAATAAAATTCAGCCCTGGGCTGCCAGTTTGCAACCTTCGGCATAGGCCTTCTGTATAGTAGGGACTCTTACTAAATGTTCAGAGTATTTTGAATGCTTACAAAACAGTAAAGAACAAAAGTTTTGGTTTTTACTATTTGTATAGTTTCCCTTAGATTCTGTGAAGAGATGGGGAGAAAAACCATGTGAAGGCATTTCATTTTAAGTATATTTTATTTTGTAAGGTTTGAATCATTTACTTTAATGAATCAGGGATAAAATAATTGAATTTCAGATTAACTTTGTATTTCTTAAGTTGATGTATTTGCTGATCTGTGCTCTATCCTTTGCTTAAAGGAGATGCAGAAACTCCCACAGGCTGTTCAGCTGATTGAGAAAGCCAGCATGATGTATCTAGAAAATGGCACCCCTGACACAGCAGCCATGGCCTTGGAGCGAGCTGGAAAGTGAGTGTGTGGAACAGTCTCTGCATAGAAGTCATTAGCTTTTTGTTTATTAATAAAGTTCTTTGAAAAAAGTTTTCTATTTCTCACTTAAGTAAAATTTTCTTGTCTAATTTAGGCTTATAGAAAATGTAGATCCAGAAAAGGCTGTACAATTATATCAACAGACAGCTAATGTGTTTGAAGTAAGTTTGAATTTTATTTCATTTTTCTTTGAGTATACTTAGAATGCTTACATTCATAATATGTAGGAAGCCCGGCTGGTGTGGCTCAGTGGTTGAGCATCGACCCATGCACCAAGAGGTCGCCGGTTCAATTCTCAGTCGTGGCACATGCCCAGGTTGTGGGCCAAATCCCCAGTCGGGGGCATACCGGAGGTGGCCAGTCGATGTTCTCTCTCATCAATGTTTCTATGTCGCCCTCTCTCTTCCTCTTTCTCTAAAATCAATAAAGAAAATAAATATGTAGGAAAACAGAAAAGCAGCGACTAGTTTTTAAAACTTTTCTGTGCTCACAACTCAGTTTTTTTTCCTATTAGAGCTTTGGTGTTGCCCTCCCAACACCACCTCCTTACCCCTGTATTGAGTGTCTTTCCTTTTTTATTAGGTAATTATTGGAGGAAAAAAAAAGATTCCTACATTAAAGCAGCCAACACTCTCTCTTGTTTGCTTCCTTTAGAATGAGGAACGTTTACGGCAGGCAGTTGAATTACTAGGAAAAGCCTCTAGACTGCTAGTACGAGGACGCAGGTAGGTTTTCTGAAATTATGTTCATGTGTCTATGTATAGCTTGTTAGTCTTTTTGGTGTAAGCCATAGACAAACACATCATGCAACTCAGTAGAAATATTGATGTCTAGAAGATGGTACATTGAGTTAAATATTAAAAGACCTGCTGTTTTTCTGAACTATAATCTCAAAAACTATCATGCATTGTACTTATCAGCATGAGAGAGAAATTTTCTTTTTTTTTTTGTACGTGCCCTCAGTGGGAACCAAACCTGGGACTCTCTGTTCCACAGGCCGATGCTCCAACTGCTGAGCCAAACCAGCCAGGGTGAGAGAATTTTTCTTGATCTGAGATGTGGTTAAATTATAATTTCTCTTTTTTGAGGAGAAATGTCTTTATAGGCATAAGTAACAAGATGCTCTGAATGCTTATCCATGAAAATGGATGCACAAATAGCTAGACCCCGAAAATCTAGAATTTCTATTGGATTTTTCTTTGTTTTTTACTTTATCTTAATTTAAGCTTAGTAAATGATTTCTGTCATTCATAAAATTCTGTTTGCTGAGATCTCGTTTAATAAAGCATTTAAGATAAACACCTTTAGGAGACTGTAAGTCTGAAGATACATATTTTAATTGAAATTTGTTCCTAGCTCTCCAGTGACAGGAAAGATCCAAGATATATTTTTGTTAAGGAATCAGAAAATGACTGAAGAATCTATTGATTCCTTTCTGAGACTGAAGTAAAGTTCTTTCTTCATTAAGACTGCAAATTCTATCCCTGGCCAGTTTGGCTTAGCGTTAGAGCATCTGCCTGTGGACCAGAAGTCTCGGGTTTGATTCTGGTCAAGGGCACGTGCCTCGGTTGCGGTTTGTCCCCGGCCCTGGTTAGGGTTGTGCCGGAGGCGGCAAGTCAGTGTGTCTCTCTCACGTCAGTGTTTCTCTGTCTCTCCTTTTCTTTCCCTCTCTCTTTCTTCCACTCTATCTGAAGATAAATAGAAAACTATTCTCAGATGAGGATTAAAAAAAAAAAGATTGCAGATTCTAAAATATAATTCAAACATCAGAATAAATTAATATAGAATTAATAACTATTAAATGTTATCATTTAAATATAGAACTTTATAGGACCTTTTATCATTGATTTAAGTTTATTTTTACTTTTTGGTCTAAACTATAACATTTTTATTTTGTTTTTAATTTAGGACTTTGTATTAAACCATGAAACAGAATTTACTGTATAAATCATCCTTGGGTCATTACCTTTATTCATCTTAATAATCTTGGCTTCCTAGAAGTTAAAACAACTGAAATGCCAACTCTGGCAATTTCCAACTAATAAATGATGGTCTAATAAATTGAGTTAGTCTCAGAAAGGGGTTTCTGGAGAAAAAAAAGCTGTTTGTGGTAGTTTCTGGCTGTTACAGAATAGCTTAACTGAAAGGTAGTACCTGGATTCGGACCTTTGTGAATAGGGCCCCGCACTGTAGAAACAGGAAATGGCGTCTTACTCTTTTCATTACAGGACAGACAGAGACAGCTGGCTTACTTTTACCTCCTTTTCTCATTCCCACCCAATGTTTGTCGCCCAAGGCTCCCAGTGCCTTTACAGAGCTCTAGGCCCCTTTCCACAGGGCCCACCAAGGCCTAAGAAGTGAAGTTGGAGGCAGGGCCAGAAGGTAGGATGCCTCTGTAGGAGTGTGCTCTGCTTCAGCTTCCCTTAAGTATTTCTGCTTTCCACATCCTTTTCTCTTTTGTTTCCTAAACTGCAGATTATCTAAAACTGTGTTTTAGGGGGAGTAGCAAAGAGGAGGAGGGGGCCGAGGATTTTCCTTGTAAGGTCAGCCAAGGAGTGTTTTCTAGCTATGTATACGTGTTCCTTTAGAGGGCTCCATTAGGTGTGGTAGCCACCATCATTCTGAAAAAGTTACTGGTTGGTTGTGACATGTGTATGACAATCATTATTTTATAGCAAGTACTAAGTTTTTTTTACAGTGTCAGTGGAAGGGAAAAGTGAATGAGCAGCAGGAATGAGAGGGTTATCTGGATATGCTTGAAAGATGGACATTTATAAATCTAGGGCAACCAACAAGTCTTTTGTTTACTTTGTAAATTTCTTTTATTGCTTTTTTATTTTTTAGTAAAAATGCATTTAAAATGATAGCATTTTATGCAGTGCTTGAACAAAAATTAATTTTATGGAAATAATTTTTAAATTGTCTAATGTAAAAATTGATTATAATTTACTCAGGAATATTAAGGAATTTGGTATTTTGAAAAATGTCACTGGATACGTGTAGTATGAAAGAATTAAAAATCAACTGCCACAGTAGTCTATCAGGAATTTAAGTAGTGCAGAGTAAGAAAAACATGGAGAATCAGTACTAAGGGAAAAAATAATTGCAATAATTTATATGCTATTTGAATATCATGAATTTATACTTTGATTATAATCTGATTTGAGTCTATGATTTGCCTAAAAGAAGTAAAACATGGTAAGTTTATACTTTATATAAATACCATCTGATAAAATGTGGCATAAAAATTTAAATTTTATGCTTCTTATGTTTAGTTAATATGCTTATATTTTTAAATTAATTTGAGACTTTATAAGATTTAATCTAGTTTAATAATGCATTGATATTAGTCTCCTGTTTTTTCTTCATTTCTGGAGCCGTAATGCAGAAATGAATCAGATTTTTTTTAGGTCGAATCTGGGAGGCCTCCTGTCAGTCCTAGATCAAGTGTCCTTGTTTCCTCCTGGGAAAAAAAGGCCTTTTCTACAAGTTGATTTGAGTTATTGGTGAGCCTTTCTTCTTCCTGTGCCTTCCAAAGATCTGAGGCAGCTGAGCAGATTGGCACACTCTGTAGTTGGCTGTCAGTGACCCCAAGCCAGAGAGCTCTTTCCCAAAGCATTGCTGTGATTCCCAGTGAGGAAGAGAATCCTACTTTCATTTCAGTTGAACAGCACCATCCCTACCTTACTGCCACTTTGAGGACTCACTTGGCAAAGAAAAGTACTTGTTTCCACCAGTCATCTGATACAGTCACTAGATTCTAAACACAGGGACCACTGGATCTATGTGGGAGTTTGTGGAAGGGAACTATCTGAAGATAATCACTAGGTTTTTGTCTTACATGGCTGTGTTCTGTCCAGTGTGATGCCCAGTTTTATTGGGGATGATGGTAAACTTTGTTGGCAATATGATGAGTCAGCTGAAAAGTTTTCTAGGTAGTTAAAAATATTCTGGAGTTTAAGAGATAGTTGGGGCCCAAGGAAGACTTTTGGGAATGGAAATGGGTTTTTTTTTGCGTTTATCTTCAGACAGAGCAGGAGGGAGAGAGGGAGAAAGAGGGAGATAGAAACATCCATGTGAGAGAGACACATCAACTGGTTGCCACCCATACCACCCTAACAGGGGCTGGGGATGAGCCGCAACCGAGGTACATGCCCTTAGCGGACTGGTCCACGGGCTGACGCTCTAACCGCTGAGCCAAACTGGCCAGGGCTGGAAATACAGTATTTTTATGCCAAGGAAATAATTCATGTGTTCAGAATGTAGCCTTTATAGTTAAATATATGAAAAGCTTAAATTACTGAGATTCCTAACTAGAATGATATAATCGGGCCATTTTGTTCATAGAATGTCATGATATAATTTATTTATTTTTAAACAGGATCTGTGATAAGCCCATAGTCATAATTAAAAATGATAGTTATATGTAATCCTCCCATATTAATTTTCTGTTTCTGCCCAACAAATAACCAGAATCCTAGCAGCTTAGAATCACACTCACACACTGGCCAGTATAGCTCAGTTGGTTGAACATCATCCCATGCACTGAAAAGGTCACCGATTTGATTCCTGGTCAGGGCACATACCCAGGGTGCAGGTTTGATCCCCAGTCTGGGTGCATACAGAAGGCAGCTGATTGTTGTTTCCCTCCTTTCCCCCTTTCCCTTATTCTCTCTCTAAAATAAATAAAAAATATTTTAAATAAAGACACAAAAAAACGCACCCACTCATGAACTCTCAGTTTTGTGGGTCAGAAGTCCCACACAGTGTAGTCAGATTCCTGCTCAGTGTCTTTCCAGGCTGGCATCACAGTGTCAGGTAGGGCTGTGACCTCATTCCAGGCTTATTGGTAGCAGAATTCCTTTCCTTGCAGCTATAGATCACAGAACCCTGTGATTAGTATTACCTGAAAGATAAATCATAAATAAGGATACAAAATAATAACAATAAGAAGACAAATAACATGAGTGATATAATAAATAACAATACAAGAATAAACCCCATGTTTCATGTACTCAGAACTGTAAACCTACTTTTGCCAACCCCTGTATAATACAGCTTTACTGGGAGGTGATGATCTGGTTAGGTTTGATGGGATTAGGGTTGGGGAGGCAAGAAAAGGGTAGGGCCTTGGACAGTCAGAGGAAGATTTTTGGTAGTCCCTTTCTCTTCATTCTGCCATCTGAGTGTGATGGAAGAAAAGGAAAATGTGTGAAAGTAAGCAGAAAAAGATGAATGTTGACCATAGGTAGCAGTAAGGACTTTTCTAGCCTCAACCTGTCTACCTTCCACTGCCGCCTTTTCCAGCACTGGGTGCTGTCAGGGCTTCCCCAGGCAGCAGTGAGTATGTGACAGTGAGGACAGGGCAGAAGTCATTCTTCAGTGGAAGGCTGTGTTCTCAGGGCATCTGGATGGCCTTTCGGTGGAAGGAAAGAAATCTGGGATGCTTAAATTGAGGGTTATCTCTCTCTAATACATTTCATAAACTTTCATAAAGCAGTTTTTTGGATTTGATAGATATTGATTAGTGAATGATCCTTACCAGACTTCAAACTCTCCTTTTGAAGTAACCTATCTGATATAAGTTCTCTTGCTTTGTCTGTCTGCTTGATGCCTAATAGGGCAGATTGAGCATTGAAAAAACAAGCCAAATGAGCAGTGCTCATGGAAATAATGGCCATGGAGCAGTTGGTAAAATGCTGGTTGTCTTCTTCATTTCTCTCAACGCTGTAATATCAAAGACATTACAAGAATGACCTCTGCTATAGAACATTTAGACCTGCCTTGTTTGACATTTCTTTGTTTTTGTCTTTAGGTTTGATGAGGCAGCACTCTCTATTCAGAAAGAAAAACATATTTATCGAGAAATTGAGAATTATCCAACTTGTTTTAAGGTATATTTTGAAAGTGCTTATTTTTGAGTTTACATTGGATGATTATTCATATTGGCGTAAATATGTACCTATAACCAGATTCCATGGATATTTGTATATTTTTTTAAATAATGCTTTCTGGGCCTCTATTTTTGGCCAAGATGGAGTGAGTGCATTGTAACCTATTTCTCCTGTTGATTACAACTAAAACTTCCAGACAAAAAAATGAAAAGCAGTTACTTTGAAAAGTAAGTAGAGCAGATTGATGGAGGGGAGTAAACACTTGGAGAAGCAGCCAGTACAGGAGTGGGTTTTTGGAATTTTTCCGTTTCCTCTTGTGGCATTGACTTAAGAGAAGCCAGGTCATACAGCTGGGCCACAGAGGCTCCAGCAGCTAAAACTCCTAAAGAACCCCTCTACCTAATCTTTCTAACCAGAGGAACTAGGAAAAGAGGCCCCATTATTTTCCCCTTTTATTCTCCCTTGGCTTTGCTCTGAGGGGAAGTCCTAGTCATGGAGCTATGGCTGTGGTGGTGGTGCAGGCAAGTAAAATGTCAGTGGAGAAACCTAGTCTCTTTGACCGGAGGAACTAGTAAGATGAGCTAAGAGAGCAAGGAGAAAACCACAGAATGTAGGGCTGGAACAGGGACTCCCCTGAGCCTATATGTATGTATGTGGGCCCACACAAGTGTTGGGTTTACTCTCCAGCTGTGTTTGTGCAGGACAGACCCAGAGGCAGAGCACAGGCTTTGAGAACTGGAATAAGATTAAACCACTGTCCAGGGCTCAGCACCCTTGCCAGGCTCATGCTTGGGGCAGAGCCGAAGCAGCAGAGCACAGAGACTGAACCAGAAGTAGAGCCTCTGCCCACCAAAAGCAGACAAAACATGTGGTCTGAGCCTGACTGGGGTGATTGCTTGCGGGAAACATCCACCTCTCCTGAGAATTATAGGAGAGTCTATGCAGCATAACATTCACAGTCCAAAGTGCAGTCCCAAACTATTGACCATAGAAAGAACCAGAAAAATAGGACCAGTTTTCAAGATAAAAGACAGCTGATGCCAACCCAGAAATAGCTCAGGTGTTGGCATTTTCAGATCAGGGCTTTGAAGCAGCTGTCATAATTTCTAATGAGGCAAAGGTAAACACAGGTGAAAGAATGGAGGACAGATTATTATTATTTTAAATAAAAACCATAAAAATGAACTAAATGAGAGTATTAGAACCGGAAACGCAGTATCTGAAATAAAGTACTAGATTGGCTTAATATGCCAATGGAGATGAGAAGATTCAGGAACTTAAAGATCAATAAAAGTTATCACAAAAATAGAGGCAAAAGATTGAAGAGTTATTTTGCTGATATCAGTCACACCTTTGATCTTATTAATGCCTTTCTTGGCTTATAGTGTCATTATTTCTGTTATCTAAAGTAATTTCATTCATTCTGCTTTTTCCTAGTCTCTCTTTAAGAATTTCAAAGTATAATTGTAGAGTTATGCCCCCCCCCTTTTAATTCCCTTTTCAAGATTAACCCTATATAGATATTTTAAAGAGATTTTCTTTAAAATGTGTAGTGTTATTCTAAGGCTTTGTTACTCTAAGTGTGGTCCTCAGACTAGCAGTGTCAGGATTGCCTAGGAGCTTATTAGAAACAGCAGGCTTGCAGGCTTGCTTTGGGCCCACAGACTCAAAGTAACAAGACTGGGTAGTTTGTATGCATGCACAACGTACTATTTCAGTGTATTTTCCCTCAGATGCCCTGGGGAAGTTACTGCAGAATTTATAAATCTTTCTGTGTAAAACCAAAACGCTGAAATTTAAATTCCAGATGTCAGGAATTAACTTCATTAATTAGATATAAATTTGGGCCATAATCACCTCTTTTGTTTTAGAAAACAATTGCTCAAGTCTTAGTTCATCTCCATAGAAATGACTATGTGGCTGCAGAAAGGTGTGTCAGGGAGAGCTACAGGTAAGACGCTGACTACTGTCTTGACTCGCAGTGTTAACGTTTCTATTAATTTGAGATTACTGCTTAGACAAATAATCCTGGCTGTGAAACTGGTTTGTTTAAAAATAAATATATAAATTCCAAAGTGACAGGAGCACTTGACTACTATTTCAGCTTTTACAGCAGAAGTTTTACAAGTCATGCTCTTTCTTGTGTTTTTCTCCTGGGGACTTACTTCCATGGAAGCGAATGACTTGAATGATTTTGTTATAGTTACCTTCTAAGAAAAAAAAGAACAACAACAGAAATAGAAAATTTTCAGAGCTTATGTTACAGGAAGATCTGAAAAGGGATTTTCCTGTCAGATTTTTAGAATGAGCAGTTTCATTCTGGGCTCTGTTGACATTTTGGGCTGTGTAATTCTTTGTTGCCAGGCCTGTCCTCTGTAGTATGTCTGGCCTCATCCCTGACCTCTGCTCACAATAAGAATGTCTCCACGTGTTGCCAAACCACTTCGGGGGTGGGGTTGGGGGGCAATCCACCCAAGTTGAGAAGGAACAGGTGGAGCTGTGTGACTTGTGCTTGCTGTAGCATCCCAGGGTTTAATGGGAGTGAAGACTGCGCTGCACTGGAACAGCTTCTTGAAGGATATGACCAGCAAGACCAAGATCAAGTGTCAGAGGTCTGCAATTCACCCCTCTTCAAGTACATGGACAATGATGTAAGTGGCCTTTTGGCTAGCTTTCTTCTTTCCTCTTGAACGGAAGAGGCTTCTAATGAGATTATCTCTCTTGTGGACTTTGACAATTTTCTCCCTCTATTTTTTATCTCAAGATACTTCTTAAAAAGGAACTTTGCATTTGCACTGAATTTTACTATGGGATTAGAGTGTTTGACTGTCAGCCATGTAGATTTATATAGCCAGTTACCTATCCATCTAACTGTGTTGACCATGTGTATATTTTTAAATTCAGCCCCATTTTTTCAGCTTCTTTCATTTGTTGTCTTGTATAGGTAGCTTAGTTATTTTAAATTTCTTCTAGGTTCACTGTCTGAAAGACATGAGGCCCATCATGTAGTGGCCTTTGTAATTCAGTAGACTTGTTGGAATTCTACTTCTGTGATGACTTATTAATGAGCTGTCTGTAGGAATGGAGCAACTGGTCTCTGTCTTGCCAGCCTCACATGGTGCTGTACACAGAAAGTGAGCCTCAGCAGTGGGTTTCTCTTCTTTCATCTTTCCCTTCTCAGTAGATTTATGAGCACCAAGTCATTTGATTGTATTTTGCAACTTGAGTCTTATGATACCAGATCAGCTTAAGATCTTCAATTTTTTTTTATTACAGTGTATGTAGACGAACCATTTTTTTCTCAATAAATTAATAGGCTTTTGTAAATCTATATTTATTTTTAAAGACTTTATTCCTAGCTTACACTTTTCATTTACTCAATAGATTTTTATTTCATAGGAACTGTGTTACTTAACTCACTGTGTCTTGATTAGCTCATATTCCTAAGTGTGATGTATAATTGACACTTTTGCTAGTTTTGTGCCTGTCATAAGCTATCTGAGGGCAGAGCAATGTTGAGTTTTGTTGTGGTTGTTTTCCCATCTACTGTTGGTTTTCATGATGATTGAAGATCTTAAGCTGCGTGTTAAGACATCACATGTGGAGATTCTAGTTATCCAGATTTTGGAAACATGCTTTGTCATTGACAGTATGCTAAGCTGGGCCTGAGTTTGGTGGTTCCAGGAGGGGGAATCAAGAAGAAAGCCACAGTTACATCGCAGGCCAATGCTGAAGGCACCACTGCCACCGCCACCGAGGAAGACGAAGATGAATATGCGGGAGGGCTGTGCTAGGCTCTGCAGAAGGAAAGGGCAAGATCCTGATGTGCCACTCACGGGCTTGGTCTTGTCTAAGGGTAGCCATACTTCATTGCAGTCATGGCTTTGAGTGCTAATAAAGACAGAGTATGTAGTTACCATCTCCCCAATCACTCATTGTACCTACTACCTGTGAAGCACTTTTTTTCTTTCCAAAGACACCAGAAGGAATTAACAGAAAAATGTCACATCTTAATACAGTTGATTTTAAAGTTTGCAAGCCAAATTCTAGACAAATTATGTTCTAAACAAAAAAAGGGACAATGGGCATACATATTCTTTTTCTTGTAATTTATTGTTAGAGAATTTTCTTTGCATTTTATTTAATTATTGCTGCTAAAATTGAAGTTTACTAGTTAAATGAAATAATATTTTAAACATTGGTTTTGTTACATTTTGAAAAGCAAATTTATCCTCCATAATGTTAGCTACATTTAAATGAAATATTTTCAGAGGTGAGACTGGAACAGAAAGCTGTTTTGATCCTTACAATATTATTTAGCCCAATAAATGGTGCATTTAAAGTTTTCTGTGTAAGTTTGAAAGTTTTGAAGGTAGCATATGAATGTGATTCTGTAAATGTCTTCAGTTCTCTGTGAAATATCAGTATTTTTCCCACCAATAAAAGCACATAGTGACTCTTCAAACCCACTTGGTTCATGACTAAATGGGAACTCTCGTGGACCTTTTTATGCTTTCTAACAAAGTGGTAATATTTTCATCAATCTATATATACATTTTTTTCTCTCGAAAATAATTTGATTCATTTAGTGTTGTAACAGGAGAGTAACATGACACTGGAAATGCTGTATACCACACAAATTCAGCTGAAATGGGAGAATTGTTTCTGAAGTACTTACATTTAAAGTATTGTGCTGCCAATATTTTGGTCCTGTATAGGTATTACCTAAGAGGTTATTTTGAAGCATTCTTCTTTCACTCTGTGTGGCTTAGATCCATCTCCAAATCTATTAATTTGAAAGAGGCTCCAAATGCCAGCATTGTGCATTCTGCAGGCAGATGCTACCCAGAGTGGTTTCCTGTTTGTTTGCACCCTGGCACTCTCCAGAGAGTCCTACCTGAGGCAGGTGCAATGGGCTTAGTTTTGCTAGACTTCCTGAAAACACTAAGGTAGATTATCATGAGTCATACTTGGTCCTATGGGAGAGCTTAGACAGTATAGCATCCTTGTTTGTGTGCTTGGGTTTGGGTGGATGTTAGGATAGAAATCTTTTTTGAAGGTCTGATTCAAAACACTATTAAATTTGATGTTTTGATTCCTTGAGCTGCTTGCAAAGTTCAGCAAGGAGCAGCTAATTTTTAATAATTGGAAATTAACTTTGAACAATCTCCATAAAACTTATTTAGGCAGTTATATTTAATGACATTAATATTTCAAAGATCCTGTCACTGCTGTTGTACCCTTTAGATCCAGTGAGAAGCTTCTGGAGTCTTATATTAATACTCATTTGAGCTAATTCACAATCTGTTTAAACAGACCTGGCAGCTCTTTACTCGATTTGTTTATAGACCATATTATCCATTACAGCTTTGGAAATTTTTTTTTTTTTTTACTTTTACACTTTTCTTACGTATTAAGCAAAAATGAGGAATGATTCAATGCATTCTGTAGCAGAAATATGAGTCTTACACAACATAAAAGGTTTATATAAGTACAACCTCTCAGCATCCTCCCTGCCTACATTTAAAAACTAATGTGCAGGACTTGTGGATTTCAGGGTTATTCTTTATGGTGTCCAGTAAGAAGCATTGGTTCCACATTTATGCATTTAGTTTTTTCCAATTATGTAAGTCTTAATTTTCAGAGAATAGAGTGGAAAACTTGTGTTTACAAAAGGAAAAATTGTTTTCCAGAAGTTATGTCATTACTTTTACCAAAGTGGAAGTCTGCATGAATATGCTCAGAATCTAAATTCAATGTTCTGTTATACTGTAAGTGCAGCTAGCCTGCAAAATATATTTAATATATTGGATTTATTTGTATATATTCAGAGTATGGTATTTGTACATTATTCCTATTTTTTTTCCAGCTCTTTGATGAGTAGAATATTAAATGTGTTATTATGGAAATGCAGATTATTGCTTCAATGGTAAGATAATTATGAAAATAAAATCTGAAACTATAAATTTTCTTTTTATTATTACTCATTTTGCTTTGCTTGTTTATTTTCTTTTTTTCAAGAACACATTCTCATTTGTATGATTCCAGCTATATTTTATAAGAACAGTATTTGTCTATTAAGTGTATATTCTGTTCTGTGGGAGTTAAGTACCTTTGGGAGTTTAAACCACTTGGGCTTTTTCAGATACTGATCATCCAGTTACTATAATACCGTGCTATCTGCTACTTGGTGAGATGGACGACTTTAATACATCTAAGAAAACCAAGTGAAATGGCATTGTTTTGCATTTAAGCATAGTCAGCACTTTAATTACCTTTGGTTTTACTTATAACTAATCAGATATTTTTGAGTGCCTGCTATAATATTGTCCATGTTTTTCATAGAATGGTATCAATATTATTTAATAGCTGGACTTAAGAGGTAACGCAGGGGAAGGAATGGCTCTTGGCCACAGTACAATTTTGCATTTCTTTTGGGACACCTTGGAATGTTCTGAATGTACCTTGTGGTCACCCTGGTAGTCTCATCTTAATGCCATCATCTCCCTCCACACCATTGCTTTTTAGGCTAGTACCAATAAAAGGCTCAATATTGATTTTAATTTGATGTTAAATTTAAGGACATTAAAAATACCTTCAAGGAAAAAAAGGAACTGAAGTAAATAATCAGTTTTGACAAAAGAAGAGCAAACCTCTTCCATCTGAGGTTTGTGGTTTTTTAATTTTAATTTTTATTTAATAACCAAGAGACTTTTGTGCATAGGAGGAAACTTTTCATTAACATTCAAAGGCATTGAATAAAATTTCTCTAAATCATTAGCCGCACCTAATAAACTAGGTTAATAAAATTCCCTTAGAGTTTATGGCTTAAATATTTCAAATTACATTTACAAATTTTTTCTGTATTCATCCTCCCAGAACTTTCAAGGGACCTAATTTAGGCAGTCTTTCAAAATCTTTGCAAACTTAACTAACTTGTAAAGCTAATAAATTCAACTTACACATATAGTAAATCAAATCTCCAAATTTTCAGTATAAATTCAGTATAAATCTCCAAATTTTCAATATAAATAAAAATATATTTTAAAAAACTGTTTGAGAACTTAAATTCTCAAATGAATCACAATTAAATATTTAAAAGTAGGATTGTGAACAATCAGTTATTAAAAACTTAGAGACCTGGCTCAGACTTCTGTAAATGGGAGTAAAATGTGAGTTCCATTAAATTAAAATGTGACCACCATGAGAGGAGGACCATGATGCTCTTCCTCACGAGTAATATTCCAGAACAGTGGTTGGTACATAATGAGCACTGAATAAATATTAATGAATCCATGAACAAAAGTACTCATCAAATGTTATTGTTTTTTATTAAAATTAGCTGGTCTCTAGTCAGTGCCCTTTGTTACTCTTAATTTCTATTAATCCAATACGTCTCAAACCAAATAGATGTACCTCAGTCAGTGTAGCTCAGTGGTTGGGCGTCGTCCCATGCACCAAAAGGTCACCGGCTCGATTCCCAGTCAGGGCACATACCTGGGTTGTGGGCTCTATCTTTAGTAGGGGCCGTGCAGGAGGCATCTGATCGATGGTTCTCTCTCACATCAATGTTTCTATCTCCCTCTCCCTCTCTCTAAAAATCAATAAAAATATATTTAAAAAAACAAATAGATGTAACATTACTGAGGTCATGAAAATGTTCTTTAACTTACAGGATTCTTTGTTTTCCCCATCCTTCATGCCTGATTTAGAGAGACTAAACATACCCTACTAGATATTAGACAAAGGCACATTTAGGATTTAAGGATGTGCTCTGAGAAATAACTGAGCACATGGAAATGCTTTCAGCTACCTGCCTCCTGGGGCCCAACAAGTGTATCTTGGATGATTCTTGGATTTCAAGTTTTCCAAATAGCAGAGCCAAACAATAAAGTTGTTTTAATGCTTGAAGCTATGATGTGATTTGGCTATGATTTCACAGGGGTGATACGTTGGAGGGATGTGATTGGGCAAGAAAAAGAAATCTGAAACAGTTGATTTGAACTGCCCTGTTCAATAATAGAATTTATACACAGAAAACTTGCCTTTCTTCTTAAAGCACTTCTTAATCCCTTTCTAGAATGTGGGTTCCCAGTTCAAGAAGGGGACATTCTACAGCTTACATTCCTTGCACTGAAGACCTTGACATTGAGGGCAATCAATATTGCAGGAGCTTATTGCACAGACAGCTTGTAGAACTACCCTTTCAAATTTCTGTTCAAAGTTAAAGTCATGTTATTACCTTTATAGTGTGATTAAATTGAGTTCTGCCAACAGCTCCTTATAACTGGTGTTAGCAAATGTTACTTTGGATTTGATTGAATATTTTTTTTTTAATATTAAGGATACTTTATAAGTGTCACTGAGTAGGGTGATACACTCATACTAAGTGAACTTAACAAACTGATGTTCAGAACATTGTAGAACTAGCAACACATGTTTTGATACATCCTGTATTTGGGGCTGGGTTTGTAGTGGATTTGGGTTTTCTGTCATTTGCAACAGCTTCCTCAGTCCCAGAATGTTTCCTCTCTGTATCCCTGACTGTCCCACCTCTACCTCCACACAAACTGCTTAGGTCAAGGTCCATATCTATCATATAGGTGTACATATAGGCAGATGAACACCCCACTGGAAGCCAGATGATCCTGTCATCTCAGAGGTATGTTTAAGAGGGATATCTAGACTTTATTTTCAGAGCTGAATGTGGGCTTAAATAATTTAATGCTATAATCCAAGCAGAGTCTCTTGGCAAAACAGTGAGCTCATATATCTGTTATCAGAGAAGAGTTTCAAAGGCACAAGAAGAAACGAATGGGACCGAATATTGTGCTTTATCAAGACATGAATGCCATTGAGACCTGGCGACTCCTTATACCAGGGGTCCTTAATCATTCTGTAAACACTGAGACATTACCATGTGGCTACAGAGGCAAGTGAGCTGTGGCCCTGTGCTCACTGTCTAGCAGACTCGGCCTGCTTCCCATTTTCTGAGCCCCCTGCATCAACTTTGTGTCTGCGGACAGCTGCAGGAAAGACAGAAAACTTATGGCTACATATTGTCTTGATGGTCACCACAAATTCCAGTAAGGATAAGGACAGGATGACCTAGTGGCAGTCAGACTGACCTTGGCATCTGGAGTAAGTTGTGTATCATCTCTGAGCTGCAGAGCATCCAGGTCCAGGGTATGCACAGGTACTGTTCCCCAAATGACCCAGAACTATAGGGCTCCCAGCAGTTCCCCCACAGCTGCTGAGATTCCATTTCAGTCCTCATGACTTATACCCACCTCTAGCCAGCCCTGAGTTCGGAGTTTGGAGGTGGTTTCCAGCCAGGACCAGTGGCATGGTTTTTTTTTGCAGGGGTGGGGTGGGGTGGGAGGAGTACAAAATAAAAATGCAGGGCCTTTTGATATAAAGCAGAAAAAAGCCTCACTCCTGTTTCTCTCTGTCAATCATAGTATCAGTCCTTTGGGAGCAGACCCTCATGGTGGCTTGGGCCCTCGTGTGCAACATGGCACAAAGTTGCATGCCTGATGCTGACCTTCCCCATGGGTAGGTCACCGGGTCAGAGGGCAGCAGCAAGTTGTAGGGCAGGACAGAGTGGGCTGCCTAGAACCCAACCTGGGGAGATGTGGACCTGCAGGAGCTAAGGCTCCAAGCCCCTGGCACACCCTCCACCGGCCCAAAACCTTTGCTTACAAAGCACAAATACAAAGATAAAATTATTAAGAAAAGTGAGAGGATCCCAGGTGCGGGCCCCTCTGAATGTGCCCTGTGCAACTATAGTGGTTCCCTGCCAAAAGCCAAAGCCGCAGGTAGACGGGGGCTTTGCGTTAGGTATAAATTTCCCCTCCTGGCGTGCAGTTTTTATGGTTGGATGTGCACCAGAGAATCCCTTTTATTCCCCATCTTCAATATTCTTCCATCCCAGAGGAGTACCCATGGGCCCTACGTCCATCACAGGAGGGTGAAGATGGGTCCTTACAGCCCAGATGACCACAGTCCTATGCAAGAAGAGGTCAAGGCCTTCTAGGCTTTTTGCTGCAGAGTAAATAAACACACATAACATTCTTATGTTAATATTGATCCCTTCTCACAATCCAGCTTCCTGAATTATTAAACTAAGACACCTTGGGGGTAAAGGGAAAATACAACTAGGGGCAGAGGAGAGGTGTAAGGAAACCAAGACTTGTATCCCTCTACAGTAGCAACTTCTAGACCAAATAGAAGTGCAGAAGAAAGACTGCTGAAAATGAGATTATTGTTTCTCAACACACCTCTCTCAGCAGCGATGATTTGATCTTGCCTAAGTCCCCAGGTTTTCTTGTTCATGTTTTGTTTCTCCTTTGCTTTCTCAAGTACAGGGCACATTTGGCCCTCTGGAGGTGTCTCCCCAGCCTGCCCTGCTCCAGACCTAGGTCTGTGCTCACACACTGTGTAACAGCCCACAGCAGACCACAGCCACCCACTTTATAGATGAGATGAAGGAAAACAAGGCAGGGAGAGTGCATCGCAAGTCCATCTGGAAGGAGCCATCACGGGTAAGAATTAGGAAATTGGAGTATGGATGAAGAAGCAGAGAATGAGGAAAGCCATAGAGCAAGGTCCAGGGAAGCTACCAGCCAACATGAGAGACAAGGAGCTAGTGGAACCAAGTCAGGCTGTGCCCTGAGCTTACCTCGGGCAAGCTAGAGGCTGGGAGTGCCCTCCTGAGAAACACTGGCCGCAGGGTTAACTCTCCTGAGAACTTCCCCAGATCTCACCTTGTCACAGAGCTCCGAAGACCCACCTCATGCTGTTCTCCATCAGGGAACATTTTTGG